GAAGGAAAAAAAGACAAGAAAGATTAGGGAAGGAGGAGAGAGGGAGGAGGTGGTAAAGGGAGGTAGAATGGAAGAAAGGAAAGGGAAAAACAAGAAGGAAAGGATTAGGGAAGGAAAGAGTGAAGGAAGAAAGGAAAAAATGAGGAAAGGTTGGAAGGAAGAGGAGGGAATGAAGGAGAGAGGAAGGAGAAGGGAGGAAGAGGAAAGGAAGGAAGGAAGGAAGAAGAGTAAGAAAGGAAGGAAAGAAGGAAGGAAGGGGAGGAGGTGGAGATGGTTGTTAGAATTCTGACTTTCAGCCTCGAAGATACAGGGAGTTGCCGACCTATAATCAGAATTGGGACCAGACGTTTGGGCGCTAAGACAGTAAGTGAGTCATGCTCCGTTTCATGACTTTCCTGCTGTGGTCACTAAGAGATTCTGGTTTCCCCCATGGACTTCACTTGTCGGGAGGTCAGAAATGGCGATCACGTGCAAGAGGCGGAGATTGTTGCTCAGCCACACCCACCTTTTCGCTGGGGAATTCTGGGAGTTGAAGTCCATGCGGCTTAAAATGGTCCAGTTCGAAAGTCCCGATCATCCCGTCCCACATGTGGCTTCAAGCTGTCCTTCTGCACCCCATTAGCTCCACATACCAATGGGGGGGCTACAAAAGTTTAGCCACTGGCTTTTGCAGCCAGAGCTTTTTTGGGGGGGGAGCGGGGGAGACCCCTTTCTTTATGATGCGACGCCATTGGGGTGTACCATCCCTCAAAGCACACAAGGACAGTTGCACTGTGCAGGAGAACTGAGTGCGAATCACGGTTTCCTCCAGGTGGCCCCCACCCCTCTCCTTTCCCTCCCCTGTTATCTGTTCAGCCGAAATTGCCATATTATTTTGGAGGTCAGTGCTTGCCCCACAGCCGGTTCTACTCCTACGCCAGGAAAGAGACGCCCTCGGGGCAGAGAGAGAGAGAGAGAGAGAGAGAGAGAGAGAGAGAGATGGGAGGCACAGAGGAGAGACTGGAATAATTCACGGGCGCTTCTTGCAGCTCTGCAAATCCCTGGTGAGGCTGGGAGAAGAAATTACCCACCTGGGAAAAGAAAGAGCGGAGCTTGCCTGGAGAAGAAACGGAAAAACAGAATTAACAGACAAAAGAAAATATCTGCAGCTCAGGGGTTCGAACGGTGGGGTCCTTGCTGTTCTCTGAGCTTGGCGGTTTGCTTGGAGACCGTTGGTGGTCCAGCTAGGTGTAACATAATCCGTGGTGGAAGGGAAGGGGGCTTGAAGAGAGGAGGAGGAGGAGGAGCAGGAGGAGGAGGAGGAGGAAGAGGAGGAGGACGACAGTGGGGTCCTTGGTGCTCTCTGAGTTTGGTGGTTTTCTTGCAGGTGTTTTATGACCCAACTAAGTATCATCATCAGTGTGAGGGAGTGTGGGGTTTGAGCTCTGTTTATATATAAGAACTTGCCCTGTCAGTGTTGGTGGGGTTGTGATTTTTCTCCTTGGACCTTCCTTCATTAATGTACTATTTTCTGCTTTGTTGTTTGTCTGGTGCCAATCCCTGCTTATCTGGGTATAGGCTGCAGATAAGCTCCCTCCTCCCATTGAGCGGTGATAGTTAGTTACCTAGATGGGCCCTTTTGCAAGAAAACCAAGCCCAAAAAGCACCAAGGATTCTCACATTCCTCCTCTTCCTCCAGCACTGATAATGTTCCCTAGTTGGGTCATGAGACGTCTGCAAGATAACCACCAAATTTGGAGAGCACCAAGGGCCTCACAGTTCTCCACCACCTCCTCCTCCTCCTTCCCCCGTTCTGGCATTGGGGATTGTTGCTCACTTGAGAAATGAAATGTTTGCAAGAGACCAGCTTAGAGAGAACCAAGGACCCCACAGAATTAACACCAGGAAGTACAAGAACTACGTTGCAGTCCGAAGTGGACTCCCTAAGGCAGGTGAGTTCCTACAACTTCAGGAGAATCCTGCTGACAGGGATTCTGGGCCGGGCGCCCTCTGCACATGGCTCTGCCCTTCTTCCAGCTCCCTTGGCCAGCCAAAGGGAGAGAAACCGCCAAAGACCGGAAGGGAAGAGGATTCTACTCCCTCTAGCAGCTAAAGCTAAGATGAGAACCAGTGAGTGGAACTTTTACAATGAGAGAGATCCATTCTAAATCCAAGGAGGAATCTTTAGATTGTGAGAGCTATTAGGCTGTGGAACAGCCCGACTCATGGAGAGATTGGACAGCCTCTTGTCTGAAAGGGTTTGGGGTTTCCTCCTTGAGCAGTGGGTTGGACTAGAGGACCTCCGAGGTCCCTTCCAGCTGTGTCATTCTGTTGCCCTAAAGGGCTGGCTGATGGAAGGGGAATTCAGTGAACTTCGGGGGGTTTTGTGAGGTCGCTGGACGTGGGGCAGTTTAGAAAGCTCTTAATTCACCGTCGTCATCGTCAAGGGCGCAGAACTGCGGCCAGCCCACCCGGCATTCAGCGCACCCCTTTCGCAGCCGGGAGGGGGTCTTTGCAGGACTCCCACCCGCCCACCCACCCAAGAGCCACAGGATGTCGGAGCCCAAGCCTGGTATGGCGGGGTCCCACAAGTCAGCGGTGGATGTTGGGATCTCCCAGAAGGTAGCACTTTGGGAAGCCCAGGCTGCGCTGCTCTGACCCCTATGTTCGGATCGCGCGCACCCCCACTGGATCGGGCGCAGAGGGCGGCAGCAAGCGCTCTTTGCCCCTGGCGCACACGGGGAAGCGTGCAAAACAGGTGCAACCTTGCACGGGTGCAGCTCCGGGGCTGCTTAGGGATCGGGGTGGGGGGGCTTCGCGCAGAACGGCGCGGCCCCCCACTCAAATCCGGACCGCCGGTCTCCCGGGATGCGCGCCCTCCTCCCTTGGCCGTGGCTGGGGATGATGGAAGCAGGAGTGCAATCTGCAGCGGGGCTTTCCTCCACCTTTCCCACCTGCCTCTGACCCCCTCGCCCGCCCCCCGCCTTGCAAGCGCGCCCCCCACCCCTCCCAGCCGCGCGCGCGCGCGCGTAGACCCACCATTCTCGCCCGGAGCCCGGCTTCGCCGCCGCACATTGGAATGCGGAGGCGGGGCGTCGCCTAGGCAACAGCAATACAGCCGCGTTCGGAAGCGGGGGGGGGGAAAGGGGGGGAAGACAAGACAAGCGCTCGCCGCGCAAGGGCCGCCGGGAGGTGTAGTCTCCCCGCTCCCCAAGAGCGGAAGCCGGGCGCCTGGGTGCGCGGGGCCTGCCGGGAGGCGTAGTTCCGGGCCGCGCTCACCGTCGCCGCTGCCTCCGCTCCGGCCGCGGCCCGCGGAGAGGCCCGACTCGACCTCGGTGGGGCGTGGGAGGCCCCGACTGGAGCCCGTGAGGCATCCCCAGCACCCCCGCGAGCCCGCGGGTTGGGAGCGGCCCCCTCGGCGCCCCCTCCGAGCCGCCGGCCTTGCCCCTCTCACGACGGCCCTGCCAGGTGGGACGGCCGAGCAGGTAGGCCTTGGCGGGGGGGAGGAGGAGGAGGAGGGGCTCGGGGTGTGCCTTTGTCTGTGGGAGGGGGAGGTATGGTGTCTGCCGTCCCCCGGTCCCGAAAGTGGCCCGATTAAGTGGGTCGTGGGGACGCGGCTGGGCAAGATGCGGGTCCCCGCCCCCAAAAAAATAACCCTGGCTCGGGAGGGGAGAAAAGAAACACGGGGGTCCAGGTGGGGGCCTCGAAAGAAGAGGAGGCAGTGGGATGGGGGAGCTCTTTTCCTCCCCCACCCCCCAAAACGATGCTTCGGGTGCCCTTCCTATGGGGCGGGGGACCTTCTTCATTTCATTTCGGAGCTCTGCTCAAGGGCGGGAATTCTGTGTTGGGGGGGAGGGTGCAATTCATTTCTCCTTCGGGGTGCAATTCTGCATGGGGGACCCCAAAAGACCCCCCTCCCCTGGGCAGCCTCCTTCTCCCCTGTCCAGATGTGCCCCCCCCCACTCCCACCCTGCAGAATCCCTGACTGTCCTTAACAGGGGATCTCCACAACTGGGATGTGTGTGTGTGTGTGTGTGTGTGTGTGATGGGGAGGTTGCGATCTGTGACTTGGAGGCCTCCTCCTTCCCCCCTACCTCCTCTTCCCCAGTTCCCTGATGCCCTCCAAGCCCAAAATTCCTCTTTGCTTTTAGCTGCCTGGTTCTCTAGTTCAGGGGTCTCCAACCTTGGCCCCTTTAAGACTTGTGGACTTCAACTCCCAGAATTCCCCAGCCAGCCAGGAGTTGTTAGGGTTAGGGTTGCCTGGGGAATTTTGGGAGTTGAAGTCCACAAGTCTTAAAGGGGCCAAGGTTGGAGACCCCTCCTCCAGTTGTCCCTGTGTGGTTCTGTTCACAGGCCTGCTAAGTGGGGAAACTTGGGTTGCCAGGACATGTTTTATTCATTTACCTATTGCATTAATTTGATTGCTGTAGCAACCCACCTCAGTCAAGGAGTCTGGGTGGCTTCCGGTGTCCAAAACCATGAAAAAGATAAAAATGCTAAAAAAACATCCAAAATAAATGCACACTGCAGCGGTTGCTGGCTTTACTCCCTGTTGCTGAGGGATCTGGAATCCCAGCCTTCCTGGTGGAGATTTCGGGGGCTGCTCAGTGGTGTGTGGCAGCTTCCAGTGTGTCTTTTGATGTACCTTGCACCCAATAAAAAGAAAAGGAAAAGGAAACAATAAGGAGTATTATAATAATAATAATACAACATCCATTTTTCAAGAAGTACCTGTGTGCATCTGGCTGCTTTCCTTGCCAACTTTGTGAAGTCAATTTTAATTTCAGTATTTATCATTTTGATAGTTGATGTTTTTATCTGATTGCCTTTACTTACTGCTTAGAGTCAATTCATAGCAAGATGGGCAGCATATAAATTTGATTAATACTGCTAGAAGCTCAGGATTGAACTGAGGGTTCAATGGTGCTGGGTGGTTTTCCTGCAGACATTTCATTACATAACTCGGTAACATTCTGGAAGGGAGTAGGGTAGAAAGAGAGCAAACTTCATTCCATTCTGGCACCGATGATGTTCCCTAGTTGGGTCATGAGACGTCTGCAAGAAAACCAAGCTCTGAGAGCACCAAGGACCCCACAGTCCTTTTCCCCGCTCTCTTCTTACTCCTCATCCCTTCTAACACTGATAATGATACCTAGTTAGGTAATGAAACATCTGTAAGAAAACCACCAAGAACCCCACAGTTGTCCTTCTCCTCCTCCTCCTCTTCCCCCCACAAACCCCCACTTCCTTCTAGCACTGATGACTTGCAGTGTATATATTAACATTTTGCCTAGATTAAAAACAAACAAAATAAAATTGAATTTTTGTGGCTAAATGAGCAATGGTGGTTGTGAGTTGCTCCTAGGCGTTAATATCTGAACCTTGGCCTTTTGAACATATGAATGCTTAAAAAAATCAATGTTCAGACACCAGTGTCTGGGCAGGGCCTAGGCCAGAGGTCTCCAAACTTGGCCACTTTAAGACTGGTGGATTTCAACTCCCAGAATTCTCCAGCCAGTAGGGGACCCCCGGCCTAGGCCATCTAACCATGGAAACCATTAAAACTAGGTGCAACCCACATAATAACCCTTGCTCGTTTAGCAACAAAAATTTCTGCTCCCAATTGTTCCGTTCCCGCCTTCTTGTCCAGCTGGCTTTCTCAGTTGTAGCCTCCCCCACCCCCAAATTACTGTGCTAAGTTGAAGTTGCTGGTCGCGGCCTGGACCTTGTTGGGAGCCAGATGTGCTGTTACCCCCCCCTTCCCCTCCCTTTACCTGTGGAGGTGGGGAGAGCCGTCGACAGAAATTCAGCGGCACAGACTCCAGCGTTGGACATGTCTGTGCAAGCCAGGTTTGTACGACGGGTGGTGTTGCTTTCAAGTCAGGAAATGTGAAAATCTTTTTTCCGGCTTTCCGCGCCGCGTTTGCATCCCGGTGTCGCCGGGGAGACCCGTCTGGAGGATTCCCAGGGATCTTCCCCCCCCCCCCTTTGAGGCCGGATCTTTGGAGCTGCATTTCTCTCCCTCTTTGAAACCTCCGTCCTCTTGGCGCCAACTGAAGCGAGGATAAAGACGTGCCTGGAACGCGGCTGCTTCTCAACTCCAACACGCCCTGGAAGGCATTGGCCAATCCTTTTTTGCTGCTGCCTCATTTTTTTTCCTAGAAAGTTTTGTGTCAGTGATATTGTTCTCTAAATGTGAATTGCTTTGAGAGTAGAATTGCATTTGATCTGCTATGGAGATTCTTTATTTTGTCAAGCAATTATAAGATAACAGATATAAGTATAAACATAGTTATGGATACATGAAACAGATACGTATAAGAAAAATAAAAGAAACGACAGGGACGGTGGGCACGTTGGTGCGCTTGTGCACGGCCCCTACAGATCTCTTAGGAAAGGGGTGAGGTCAATAGTAGACAGTCTAAGGTTAAAGTTTTTGGGATTTGGGGAAGAAACCACAGAGTCAGGTAGAGGATTCCAGACATTGACCACTCTGTGGCTGAAGTCGTATTTCCTGCAGTCAAGTTTGGTGCGATTAACCTTGAGTTTGTATCTATTGTGTGCTCTTGTGTTGTTATGGTTGAAGCTGTTCGTTGACAGGTAGGACATTGCAATGTACGATTTTATATACTATACTTAGATCGGACCGAAGGCGGCGTAGTTCTAGGTTTTCTAGGAGTAGAAATTAGGATCTAGAAATAGATTCTCAGACATGGTGCTTTTTTTCTTCTTTTCTTCAAAAGGCAGCTGGACTTTGTTTTTCTTTGAAGACATTTCGCTTTTCATCCAAGAAGATTCATCAGTTCTCATTGGTCAAAACTTCAGTCAGAACCAAAGAAGCTTCTTGGATGAGAAGCGAAACGTCTTCAAAGAAAAACAAAGTCCAGCTGCCTTTTGGGGGGAAAAAACACCTTTGAGACATTTGATTTGCTATTTCTTCTGGGAAAAATTCTCTGGTCTTTTGAGAGCAGCAAGAGGACTCGGTGATGTGTGGCCAGTATAAAAAGCAAACTCTGCAAGGTGGCCGATTTTTTAAAAAATGTCTAGTAGCGCCTTTTCTGTACTTTATTGAAAGGCGTAAGCTTTTACCAGGCGCCTTCTGTTGTTGATAGACTGGAATGTTTCACATTTTCTCATTTGTAAAGTGTGAAATGTGCTGTTTTGTGAAACTGATTCTATTTTGGTCTTCTCGAAACAAAAGTTGGTGCGGCAAATCTCCCTGGGTCTGTATATTTTTATTTATCAGGGGTTCTTGGTGCACTCTAAGCTTGGCTGTTTCCTTTCAGACACTCCAGTACCCAGCTAGGGAACACCACCAGTGCTAGACGAGAGTGACGGTTGCTCTTTCT